TATAATGCATAGTTTTGATAGTCGAAAAGACAATAAAAACATAATGACAGATAAACCGACAAAGCCGAGAAAGTCGGAAAGCAAAACTCACCTCGAGTCGTTCCAAGACTTTTTCAGAAAGATCTACGCGCATCGGACGCACAATGCACTCTTGAGGAAACTTCATCACGGAGATGCGATCCGTCAACAAGTGGACAATTGTAACCATTGGTGGGCCAGTGTGAGATGCTCCATTTCCTGATACACGAATGGAACTAGACAGCAAATGCGGATCTGTACCATCAGAGGGTTCCAGCGAATCCGAGCGTGAGCCAGATGAGAAGAGGTCTGCCAGCAGCAGTTTCTCAGGGCCGCGAGTTCTGCCGTCAGTGGGACCGATCAACAAGCGTCTCCTGCCGGCGAGATCGTCATCATTAGAGACCTCACCAGAGTTAGTTGGCTCCAGTAAAGCGACTCGAAGACGCTCTATGACACGGCCAGTGTGAACTTGAGGAAAATTAAAAAATAATATAAGCCGAGCCTTCCAAATTTAGTATAGGCATACATTAAATGAGATGTATTCACCCTATTTCGTCTGAGGTGATGGTACATTAAATGATTTGGTCGTATTAAAAACAGCATTTGTGGGTTGGCACACAAGAGACTAGGGCATAGCGGATAGAAGCACGAGAGATGCGGCGGAGAGTAAAGCTGGTTGGCCAACAATAGACGTGTTTGATCATAGACGTGGTCCATGAAGCCAAGGCTTGACGATGAGAATGACTCGGGACTCAGCTTGAGAAACCAGACTTTTTGGGCGGGAGTGTGGGAAATAACGCATCGAGTGGCACAGATAGGAGGGTGGCAGGGGTCAAGTGAAATATGTGAACTAGGGGCATAGGAGATAGATCCTACGGGGCAAGAGGGAGACTCTGATAGGACTAATGCAAAAAGGATTGCGGAATAATATGGCGGACTCTGATCAACAGTCCCATCGCAACGGTAAGGTGGGGCTTGCTCAAAAGGGCAAACCATACCACATTTAAATAGGCAAGTAAGAAATTGCGATAGTGAA